TGTTGTGAAGTTAATGGAGTTTCGCTGAAGATGTCTAATTCTTAATCCTGGCACTTTTAAAATTTTCAATATATTGAAGTTATACATGGAATATGAAACTTCAAGACACGGAATAGTTTGATATCTTAGACTTACTAAAATTAAGTAAGGATTAAACTTCAACATTTAATGGATTTGAAACTGATTGTTATGTCTTAAATGCTGTTGTTTCACAAACAAAAAGCATATTTCTAACGCATTTAAAAGTTGCTTTCTTATTATAAACCTGGAAATTCTCCGTTTGACTTCTGAAAAAAAAAACCTAGAAAATTCAGGAAATGTTACGTAATCAAGTGAGTAGACACCCTGTTGATGATGAAGTACGATTAAACGTAAAAAGGTCCATACTTCGAAAACAACAGAACAAACAGACATCGGATCCAGCACACTGCAAGAAGAATAAACAATCTTGAAATAAATTAACGCTAAAAAAAAGTTGTGAATAGTGACTGATTACACGAAAAAGTGATTTCAGTGACTTGGTCTTAAAAAAGGGGACTTGGCTTGAAAAAAGTGGCCAAGTCACTAAAAAGTAACTCGCTACCAGTCCTGCAAGTTAGACCTAGTTGGTTCCATTTCACACGTTGCAGTTCGGTTTGCTCAAGATAAATGCGATGAATTTAATCACTGGTGCGGTTTTGTTGGATGTGGGGTGGAAACAAGGGAAATCGCTAAGAAAATTTGTAGTTTCTTCTTATTGCTACCATATTTCATGACAAATGATATAGAAATTTTCTAAAATTGTCTACTGATGCAAAAATAAGCAAAACACGCGGCGACATCCTTGAAATGCGTTCTGATTTATTTTTGTTATTTTTACAACGTCGATCACAACAGGTGCAAAAGTGCAAAAACTGTTTCAACCACTAACAAATTTCAAAAATGTTGGTCTTCCTTCAGCAATAACTTCACAACGAAAGATGTTAAGAATGAAATGTTATTTTACAATTTTAGATTTCATATCAAGATCAGTCGTATATGACTATCAAGTTGTAATTTTACGATATTATGTTTAATTATTAATTTCTATGAACATCAGGCTGAAAATTCTGGATTTTTGAATAATCTAGATGAGGCCTCATTCAAATGTTATGCTTTTATTTCAAACATGCTATCCATATCCTAAAGTATCGCTTTTAGCTACTTCACAACCAAATAATCATCTAAAATGCTTTTACCAGGATTATAATTGAATGTCCACTTTACCCCTACGCTTGTCCGTTTTGCTCTTGCCCCCAAAAGAAAATTCAACAAGTAATACTTTTTGAATATATTTAAAAATGTTGAATACGAATCTGTTTGTGCGAAAAAACATAGATTAGGTTACACTTAGTTTTGGTGATTCGTGTCGCAGTAATAATTTGTATAGAGCAAAGGTATTGTGGTAAGAAGTTGAGGTTTTCTTCAGCTGTGTAGGTAACTTTTAGATGTATATACAGATATGTATAGTTATAAGTACACTAAGTTTCCTGCTAGTTCTCACCTTAGATAAGTTCAGAGTAGTATAAGTTAATTAAGAGATTGTAGCTTTGTTCATTTGTTCGTGCATTCATTTCATCTTCACTTTTACGCATAATAGTATGTTTAATCAAGCGGCGCCGGTGGTGTAGTGGTAAGCGTGATTACATCTCACCCTAGCAGGCCTGGGTTCAATCCCAGTCGGCGCCGCCGGGATGTTCTGAGGCATAACATCTCTGATCACGCCTTCTTTCGGAAGGGAAGTAAAGCCGTTGGTCCCCGGTTCATGAGTTCATGGGTCGATAGGTAGGGTACAGGTGTGGGAGCAGCCTCCCTGGCGTCGGTAGCATTGGTGCTCAGCACGGAAAACAAATCGAGGAAAAAACAAAAAAAGAGTATGCTTAAGCTTATTATTCCACTAATACCTGATAGTCTTTAAGTTTAACAATAGCAATTTGATAGATTAGGTGGTTTAACAAACCGTTTGCGAGGAAGAAAATCGTAATAATTTTAATCAAAGGAGGGATCACCACTTTTACTTTCTCGTCCGAGTTATTGTCTCGGCTTGTTTACATATTTTATCAATCGATTGCTTGACTTTCATATGATCCCTCGTACGATCGACGATCCTCTGACCGACACACGGGTTGCGTTGGAGTGTTCGAAACAGTGGTAGTGGTGAGGCTGCTGGGGCTCGTGGGGCCATTAGACGTAGTGGAATCAACAATGATATTTCTAAGTTAATATTTGTATTTGATATCAACGACCAAGGAATTAAAAATATCTCAAAATAACAATATGACAAGGGATCAACGAGCTGTGTTAAAAAGGAAAGTAATTATGATTTAATCTTCTTCCCTTTTTCATCATGGAAAACTGCCGGGCCAGTAGAAGTAAACGACCAAATTATTGGCAAGCTACTTCACGAATTAACGCCGAAGATGATACACGTGTGTTAATAGGAATTTTTTTAGTTATGTCTTTTCTCGATTTTGATCAATCTATACCCTAAACCGTGTATAGTGCAACAAAGCAGGCAAGCAAAATATCATCATCTTTCTACAACTCCGATCAACCTATATTACATAAAGAGTTTATTGTGGTAGTAGTAGCAAGCGCTTTGTTTTTATCGTTGGTTGCAGTGTTTAGATTCGCTGTCAACGACCAATCAGAGGCCTCGCTTAGCTCAATCGGTAAAAGCGCAGCTATAACGCAAGACCATGCTGGAGACTACTGGGTTCGACTCCCGGTCCGGTCTAGGACTTTCTTCCTAGGGCATAGAATATGATTGTACTTGCCACATAATTATGCTAATGCAAAAATGGTACAGCATTAGAAAACTCTCTTTTAACAACTGTGGAAGTGATCAAAGAACACTAAGTTTAGAGCCGGCATAATGTCCCAGTAGAGACGTAGTAAAGCCAAAATAAAATCAACGACCATAAGTTGAATTAAAAAGTGAGATACCCAGAATGCACATATTTCCACTATAACCAACATGAAACTCTTTAAGGTGCCCATTTACCCCACATTACCCGTATCATAAGTTCTTGAAGCAAATATTGGTTTTATGAATTTTATTTTAAGAAAGTGTAAATTTTCCCACACACAAATATCAAGTTACACCAAATACAACGGCTATAATCTGCACATATTTGTAAAATAAGTTAAGATTGTAAACCCCATAATTAATGAGCAAATGTAATGGTAAGACTAAATGAAACCCTTAGATGATTCGATTGACAAAACTACCTTCGAACTGGTTCTTTTCTTCTGTCATATTCCTCAAAATAAATGGTCTTCTTCCGACAACACTGCTAATCTGCTTAGCCACTTTGTCCCTTCCCAACCCTGACCAAGTTTCTACCCAAAATAACAAAGATCCGCGCGTGCGACAACTCTCTTCCCTAGAGTCGAGAAGATCAGCAGGCAATTAAAATAATAGTTTCATGAAGCCAGTTGTTGATTCATTTATAACATTTCAGCGTGTTGCGTTCCACTGTATCTCTGTTTCTGCTCGACTCGGATTCAGACGGATCTCGGCTCAGCCCAGCCAGTAGCAGTGTGGGGCAGGTCCGTGGAGTGATTTACGCTGTCTATTATTAATGGCTCATTACCGGCTTCGTCTTTCTTTCTGCTTCTGTTTCTGGTACTGCCGCCGTCTGCCGCTGGGTGGTTGCAGCAGATGAGGAAAGCAAAGTCCGTGTACTGTTTACTCATCAGGCTCAAATCATGAGTGTGGCTGAGGCTGAGCTGAACTGAGTGAGCACATGACGTCCGTCCTTTCGTACTCACCGGTTAACTGTTGCCAATGTTGATGATACTGATTTTTGGACGATTGTCGCTCCTTAGGTAGGTAGGTATCTATAGTTGGTTCATTTGAAAATTGGATTTGAAGAGCCGAGGTGAAACACAAAGAACGTGTACATTTCAATTTTAGCTTTTCATGGTGCTGACGGTGTTGATGATGATGATGATGATGCTGATGATGCTGTTGCGTTTTGTGATTTGCAAATGCGATCTAAGATGTATGAGACATACGACGACGACGACGACGACGACGACTACGACTGTTTGATTGCTCTTTTCTCGAGCAGTACGTATGAAAGTTTTGGTTGATCTTTGTTATTAAATTCTGTGAGTTGATTTTATGTGACGAGAAGATAAGTGGTAGCTGAAACTGAGGTTTTCATGTTTTCTCGGGTCATGGAATGTTGACACTTGCAATAGAAACGTTGAACTTTGGATGCACGGGGTTATAGAATGTTTGAAATTCTATTTGAGTTTAATATGACTAGAGCTAGGCTAATAAATCATTTGCATATTTGAAAGTCTGTGTGTGTGTGTGCTGTTTTCTCCTAGTTCATTTAGAATCGAACCAGACACATACATACTTAAAAGACATGCTATGATTGATTGTTTCACCCATGCGTTGAAGCTGCATCTGGCTGGATAATGCTTCCTAGAAAAAAAAACAATCATCTCAGTTTTCTCCGGAGAGAATTCGATACCCAGTTTCATAGCCCAAGAAGACAAATTGTCCAAAGTATCTTGCAATGGTCCTTTCAGGTCCGGTGCATTTGGTCCTATGACGGAAATCACGCAGTCATCTACAACCAATGCGATCAATGTTTGACAAGGCAATCGTCAGTGTTCTTTAGGGGGCCTAAAAATGAGCCCTGCATATATTTCTCTGATAACAAAAAGTTCTTCAGAATTGTTGTACTACACAGGTTATGGTAAGCAAGCAAGCACGTTCATTTCCCATGAACGCATTTTAGAAATATGCGTTTGAAAACTGCCACTTTTTGTTACATGCCAGATTTCGAATTGTGAACCCCAGTATAGTAAAGAAAGGCGTAGTCCTACGTCAAAAGTAATCTTCACCTTCAGTAAATTTATCTCACTCAGCTGCGCACGATAGAGTGAAATGGTCGAGAAAAAACATCAATCTCTAGAAGACGAGTGTAATGCTAATATCTATTAACATGCTGGGACTAAAGGGTGTCCACGATGAAATTGCCACACTATGAAATTGCTCTAACTTTTTAACCGTTGGGTAGAATTTAATGAAAATTTGGGTGGATTTAGTTCATAGTGCATTATTTATATCCTGCAAGTTTTAAAGTCCTGTGATCAAAACTCGCGAAAATGGAGTCGAAAGAACAGCTCGTGCGTGATAAAATCTTGCGCATTCATCACGAGAACAAGGATCTCTCGCATCGTTCCATCGCTAAAACGTTGGGAATCGCGAATTCCACGGTGTCGCGAGTGATTAAGCGGTTCGAGGAACGGTTGACCACCGATCGGAAGCCCAGAAGTGAAGGAAAAAGTATTCCGTACAACACCAAAAATCACAACCGCGTAGTTGGGGCCTTCAACCGAAATCCGAACGCCTCCGTTAGGGATGTGGCTAAGAAGCTGCACCAGAAGGCCAAAACTAAGGCTGGGCTTCGAACGTTCAAGGTACAAAAGGCCCCTAATCGCGACGAGAAGCAGAACAAGTCCGCCAAAACCCGTGCCAGGAAGTTGTACCTCAACATGCTGACGAAAGTTGAATGCTGCATCATGGACGACGAAACATATGTGAAGGCCGACTTCAAACAGATCCCCGGCAACCTGTTTTTCACGGCCAAGGATAAGTTCAGCGTTCCGGAGCATGTCCGCACTCAGAAGATGTCCAAATTTGCGAAGAAATTCCTGGTTTGGCAAGCCATCTGCACGTGCGGGAAGCGGAGTGCACCTTTCGTGACCCAGGACACGATGAACGGACAGGTGTACATAAAAGAGTGCCTCCAGAAGCGGCTGCTTCCTCTCCTGAAGGCCCACAACGTCCCAACAATCTTCTGGCCGGATTTGGCCTCATGCCACTACTCCAAGGACGTGCTGAAGTGGTATGCGGACAATAAGGTCAATTTCGTGCCGAAAATGTTCAACCCTCCCAACACTCCGGAGCTCCGCCCATCGAGAAGTACTGGGCGATTATGAAGCAGCACCTTCTTAAACGACCTAAGGTAGTGAAGACAGTCGAGGAACTGAAGAAAGTATGGGTTTACATGCAAAAAACGGTTAATTCACAGGTTGTGCAGAATCTTATGGCCGGGGTTAAGGCCAAGGTGCGGGCATTTGCGTATGGACTGTAAATAAAATACGAGTAAAATGGTAAAATGAAGTTTAATAGTTATTTCTCAATCCCTGAAAATTTGATGGCAATCGGATGAAAACTCGAATTTTGCGAATCAATTTTGTGTGTGGAAATTTCATCGTGGACACCCTTTAGTAACATGTCAAGGATGGAGAAACCAGATCGAGAAAGTACTATTTAAAATGTGATTTCTTTAGATGCGTTGACAGTAAAACTAACGCTTGGTTTGACAGTTGTGTTCACTGCTCTCAAATACATCATAACATCGTCAACTAAGTGATTCTTTATTAAGTTCCGTGAAAATTTGCTCCAAAACAAATCATTACTCTGCGATACAAGCACAAATGTACATCGCTTTTGATTTCTAGATACATTAACTATGTGATGAACTGAAATATGTACTACCCTTTACTGTTCATACTCATCGTTAAGCTTTGAAAATAAATAAACGGATTTCCTGAGATTTCGAAAAATAAAATCCCGAATCCCAGGATTAACGATGGTCCGCCTCCCCCTTTAAGCATTCTTTTTTTACATGGCTGGTTACCCTAAAATACAACGTCATTTATGCATCTTCCCTAAGCATTATATCAACCGCAGTGCTGCAAAATAACGACCATGATCGGCGATATGGACACAAAATATTTTGTTGCTCGCTCGAGCTAAATAAATCTTCAAGGGAAACCATGTCAATAGCCAGTCCGTTCTTCAATTCTTTCAGTGACAATGACAATGATAGCGATCAATGCTGTCAAATATAGTGATTTTAGTGACCATGTTGAAGAAATAAGTGACCAAATAGTGACTAATAGTTGTAAAAAAAGTCATTTCGCTGTATTGAATCTTTCGCTCTAAAACATCAAACATTTACATATTTTGTATGCCATCAGAACGACTAATTTTCTTTAGAGCGAAATTCTTTGTTTTAGAGCGAAAGATTCAATAGAGCGAAATGACTAAACCTCCAAACTTCTACTACATAGAAAAACCTGAAAAACCGGGAAATCTCAGGGAAGTTTATTTTTCCTGAAAATACCTGGAAGTCTCAGGGAATCTTATCATTATTCAGAAAATTTAATAATGTTCTTACTAAGAATGCATTTTAAAATAAAAGCATTTTATATTCCTAGCTATTTTCATTCACACATTGAACTTTATAGATTAAGAATAAATTAATCTTCAGTAAAATAAATAGATTTTTTAAATTCAGAGGTTTCAATTTTTTTTTTTTTTTTTGGTTTAGAATATGCATGTTTCCCACAAATTTTATAAATTCTGAACTGAAAAGATATAATACTTCAAGAAATTTTCAAGAATCTGGAGTCAAATTCCTTGCACAGTTTTAAGGCTCGTGAAATTTTATTATTATTTATATGGACCTCATTACTCGGGAGTTCTGAAAAAAAAACCTATGAGAAGTTAGTTAGGTATTTTTATTAAGGAGACTTTCAGCCGAACTCTGGTTCGTCTCCGGAAAAAAATCTATGAGAAAAACATCAACTGCAACCTGCTTTCATGGTAGTTCTGAGGAATTTTAGACTTCATGTGAAGCCTAAGCCTACGATAGTAAACTTCAAGCGAATTTTCATGAGAAATCTCCGTTGAAATACTTCCACATTTTCCGGATGTTCATTCATTGCGTTCCAGAAATTTTCTCTGAGCAAACCAAAGCTTCCAGAAATTCCAGTTTCTGCAATTTTCTTGAAATTTTTTGAATGGCCCTTTAGTTCTCTAATCTGTCTTCATGTTCTCGGAGTTTCTTTAAAACTCTCAACTCAAATGAAGATCTCAGTTCTGATTTAAAATAAATGGAATTCTCGTAAACACCTTTAAACTTCCCTGGAATTCTCTGGATTTCTGTTAAGTTCCTGAAATATTTCTGAAGTTTTCATAAATTTTCTGAAGGTTTCTGTACTAAATCTTTCGGAACATCTTATGGGTTCTTGATTTTATTCCAGCACATCATGGGACTACCCTGAATTTGTCTAAACTCACGCTTATAGATTTTTAAACCAATTCAAACGTCTGGGTTAAAGTTTCGGGGATTTCCCCCAAAGATCTCTAGATTTAGGTTTTCTGAGATTAATAGAGCTTCATTAAAGTTTCCACATTTTTGATAGTACGAAACATCAAGACATTAAAAATGTTGTGATCTTAGACTTACTAAAATGAAGTAAGTGTTCAACTTCAACATTTAATGGATTTAAGCTAAAGCTGTTTCTTGAAAACTGATTGTCATGTTTTAAAAACGTTTGCGTTAAAAACATATTTTTAAAGGATTTCATAAATATAATTTGTATTATAAACCTTGAAAATTCAGGGAACTTTATTTAGCCAAATGAGTGGACACCCTGTAGATAGAGAAGAACGATTAAACGCAAAAAATCTCTATAACAGTCCGTCAACTTCGAATTGTTCAAAAATAGAAAATAGAAAAATAGAAATAGAAACAGAAATATAGGTAACGGCACCGGTGGTGTAGTGGTAAGCGTGATTACCTCTCACCCCAGCAGGCCTGGGTTCAATCCCAGTCGGCGCCGCCGGGATGTTCTGAGGCATAACATCTCTGATCACGCCTTCCTTCGGATGGGAAGTAAAGCCGTTGGTCCCCGGTTCATGAGTTGATGGGTCGATAGGTAGGGTCCAGGTGTAGGAGCAGCCTCCCTGGCGTCGGTAGCATTGGTGCTCAGCACGGAAAACAAGATCGACGGAAAAAACAAACCAAAGGAAAAAAAAAGAAAAAAAAAAGAAATATAGGCCTATCCAGAAGAATGATCAATCTTGAATTCACGTTTAAAAAAGTTTGAAATAGTGACATATTACAAGAAAAAGTGACTTTAGTGACTTGGCTTAAAAAAAAAGAGACTTTTTAGTGATTGGCTTGAAAAAAGTGACTTGCTATCAGCCCTGTAAAGGGCTTTTTTCAATACTTTCACTCACGTGTAAGTATTAGTAGAGCTTATTAAAGTTTTTACATCATTAAAAGTGCTAAAATGAAGCTGATTTAAGGCATGGTGTTAAGCGTTAATTCAATTTTATGATATTATAAAATAGCCAAGAACTTAAAAAAAACCTGTGAGGTATTGGTCCACAGGGGCAGGTCTATTTCAAAACAAAATTCACACCAGCGTTGAGGCCACCAAGATCACGGCTTATCTCCCAATATAGCCATCACAAGCATCCAATCTAACAATGAATCAACCAACAGAAACCGTCATCCGTGGCTAATTTTGCGGATAAATCCCTACCACGTTGACACGTCGTCGTCGTCGTCGTCCGTGGCGTCCCATTAGTGTTGGCAAGCTAATGAAAGGTCCAAATACACGCTACAATGTAATGCCGGTCGGTGCTGATTCTGTTCAACGCCGTCATGAAAATCTAAAATCCGTCCCCTTTGTGTCGATGTGAAGCACTTCTTGAGCACCTGTTTCGATGTCGTTCTGAATAGATCCGTCAGCAGCGGACACTACTGATTTCAAAATCTAGATGCGTTGACATGTTCATAGCACGAAAGCCTGTCGCCTTCTCTTTCTCTATAGCTCTTGAAGGACCCTTCCAGACATTGCACTCGAACGTACGTAAAAGCAGTCATGGGGATAGCAACAAAAAAGAAATCGATAGAGAACCATCATCGGTGCAACGTCACGCCAACACTACCAGCAAGTAACGCATACACACGGTACAAGGCAGTAGTGTCGAGTCACGTGAGATGCTGACGTGTACATAATTAAAATAATTAATTTTCTAGTACGGATCAGTGACGCTGTGCGCACGTTATTCTCGGAGCCATGCTGTGAATGCGCGCACCGATGAAGAAGTAAATAAAGGTTTCCAGCAGCTCCCGATTCCCCTCGCCATTACAACCCAATCTGGAGGAGCAGCAGCAGCAGCAGTCGTGATAATCCTTTGAATCCGTCCCAGCAACGAACGTTGATGTAGATGAGGGAGTTCCGATCCTTGTGGCGGTGGTGATGAGTCTGTTGTTTTGAGTTTTTTTCTTACCTCCGATCCAGACCGACCGACTACCACCGAAGGGTTGGAAAAAGCCATTGTGTATCAGTGAATAGCTAGCGCAAAGGGGGTTAAGTTTATTCTGATGCCGTTTGGTTCAGTTGACGGATGTGGAAGTCGACGCTATGCTTATGCAGGAGTACTCGGTCTGGCTGCAGCGTGTTGACTTTCCGATGGTCTAAGTACCTTCTATTGCTATTCTATAAAGCCGGTTGATACAATTCTTAGGAAACGAGTTCGAGGCACAAATCATTCCGAGAATTGAAGAACTTCTACGCTTTGAACCACGATTGCAATCGCAAGATTTCACAAACAAATTTTCATGAAAAGTGAAATAATCTCACCGTTGTGATACTTCGTGAGAAGCAATAAACAGGGTTCAAATATTTGCACTAATTTGAATAAACACACGCTTTTTTTTTGGCTAATACGAGAAGTGCCCACGATTTGTTTGCCCGTTTATGACGACCGTTAAAATCACTCACGCTTTTCGTTCAGTTTCCTTTGGTTGTGGATCAAGATGAGTTTGAGTTTTGGGGGTCCGGACTTATGATGTGTGGTTAGTTTGCTTTTTACCTATACATACACATGCGTTTTGTGTACTCATCGACAATGTAAAAGTGTGTATGCATAGGAAAAGAACACCAGCCCTCGGATTTATTCATTTCATGACCTTCGTGGACCGACAGCGAACCTAAATAAACAAACTGATGGTGGTTGTATTCTATAAAATTACATCGTATGTTTCAAACAGGAGGAGAATGCGATGCCATATTTGTTGAGAGCCGACCAGTTATTGCTGGAGGCGCATGGTATTTGAAGAAACAACTTTGGTAGTAACGAACGGGAGGTACGTGTAACAGGGTGGTCGCTGGGTTTAAGACATTAAATCCCCCTTTATCCGCGATTTTCCCTGGTGCCCATCGTATTTTTCCGGTTTCATATAAACAACTTAATATGGTTAAAAATACCGGGATGGTTAATTTCAGCAATTACCAATGTCACCGATGTCAAGGAGGCAGCTCCCACACCTTGACCTTACCTGTCGACCTATCAACTCATGGACCGGGGCCAACGGCTGTGCTTCCCTTCCGAAGGAAGGCATGGTC